AGCCCTTCTGTTAGAGCTGCAAAAGTTTATTGCCCCTTCTATTTGAATGAGCACACAGCTGCATCGTGGCTAAGATACAGAGACGATCTGTTTTCTGTGCGTTCGTAGTGAAATCGAATACTGTAGTATAATTTCAGCCTATATATACATCAAGCAGGTAACAACAAAAAGGTATGTACATCGAATTTTACAATATATTTTTTACATACCTATCTGCAGAATCTGCAATAAAATTACTGGATCGTGGATAAGTTTTGGCATAACTCATACGTATATTTTTATTTGCTGTTGTTCATTTAGGTATCAATTTAATTCCTCTATTAGGGTTTTACTCAAGTCTGTCTGGTAATTACTACATTTAAAAATAAATAGTTAGGACTGTGCATGTGCTTCCACTAGTGGTGTGTGTGCGCGCTTCCACCAGCGGAGTTTAAATGCCTGACTGGCACAAACGGGGCACTTTGGCCATGACGACCTTACTCATGACTGGCATAAACGGGGCACTTCGGCACTTAAAGGTTAATTTCCATATATGTAACATACTGTTATCTATAAGATTGTCACAGTTAAGCTAGGCTCTCATGAGTTTTATGCAAGATGAGTTCCACAAATTCTCACAGGTGTGAACAAAATGCAGAGAATGGCTTCAACTTTGACTTTTTAGAGTGATACCACAAAGATGGCAGTGAATTTCTCAGTCACATCATAATGAGTGATGAGACCTGGGTCATTTATGAATGTTGGAACCAAAGAGCAGACAAAGCAGTAGATGTGCACACGTTCACCAAACAAGCTGATAAAGTTTAAACAAACATTGTCTGCAAGAAAGTTGATGGTGGCTGTATTCTGGGACAGATGGAATTCATGCAACAAGGGGCCACAATAATGTCAGAAGTGTATTCCAAAATGCTAGAAAGACTACGTAGGGCTGGCCATTGGGAACAAAAGGCATGGAATGCTGACATCCAGTGTAGTGCTCCTCCATGACATTGCACGTCCACATAGTCATGCAGCTGCTTGTACTTGAGCATTGCTGGAGCATTTCTACTGGGAGTTGTTTGACCACCCTCTTTACAGCCCTGATCTTATTCCAAGTGACTACCACCTTTTTACCTGCCTGAAGAACTGGTTGTGATCACAGTACTTCAGCAGTAATGAGGAGTTGATGGAAGGTGTCAAAATGTGGCTGAACTCACAGGTGTGCTCTTCTTTGACACAGACATACAAAAGCTTATTCCCCAATACAACATTTACCTCGGTTCTAGTGGTGACAACATATAGAAGTAGCTGAAGTATCTATGTATTTTTTGTATACAATATTTTTCTCCATCATTGCTTATTTTGTTAACAGCTCACTTGATGTTACTTTCTGAATAGCCCTCGTATATGTTCATAGATCTCTCTCACTTCCACTGTATAATCTCCAAACATTTCTTTCACATGTCTTTGATACCATCCTTGCCATTAAGACTGATCTTGTTCTGTTTGAAAGAATTATTTTCCTAAAGCCCAAAGAGGCTGAATCCAAGAGTATTAAAAGCTGTATTTTCCTTCTGTAAATACCTGTTTCTCTTTTTTGGTATGAAAATGTTTAGATATTTGACTGCTGCTGAAATCATGTAACAGTACTCACATAGCATCTATGAAATTGTTTTTATATTAGTTTGTGTTCATATAAATGGTTCTTTAATTCATTATTTATATCTTCCAAAGTGATGGTCATTTGCAGTAATAATATTTCACCATCAGGCCTGAATTATTTGCTACAGTGTCCTGTCATCTCACCCTAATGTTGTATTTAAGCATCCTGTTGCATTAATATATCTTTTGTACACATATATTTCCATCTTAAATGCAACTGATTATCTGATCACTCTTTTTCCTCACTACATGTTTCAGCCACATGTGACTATTGTCAGGTGTTGTCTGTCTTGCTAAAATTGTTGCGCTGTTTTTCAAAATCTACATACACAAACCACTTAACCACATAACTAGCCTAGCAGCATGAAGAAACCTACAGCCAATGATTCATACATAACAAAAGTGATTGTAACACTGCATCGGCATCCTTACAAACTACACACATAAGACATATAATACCCACACCGCAAAGGGAATGCAGTGCAAATAAATCCAAAACAAGAAACACTCAAGCAGATATCTTTTAAATGAATGGACAGCAATCACAATGGAAAACAATAAGCTGTTAATTAATTTTAATTCAAAGTTAATTTATTTCAATTAGGAGATATCACATTCAGATGCGATATGTAATTTTGACATACATTGCAACAGTTTTAGCAAGTTAGACAACACCTGATGATGGCTGTATGCTGCCAAAACATGTAGTGAGGAAGAAGGGTGACCAGATAATAAGTTGCATTTAAGATGGAAATATATATGTACATAATACACCCTATGTTTGTGTTTGTTTACTGACAAGGCATTTCCAAAGTTTCTGATGTTGCTCTCTTTTCCACACAGGATGTAATATTTTCCAGTTTCCTCAGACAGCCTAAATTGTTGTGTTCAGACTCATGTTTGGGCCACATTTACATTCCTACAGAGAACCTATTAAGTTTGCCAGTAAATTTGTCTGTATGCCTGAAACAACTCAAGAACCAATTGATGGATTTGCATGAAATTTGAGAGAATTATAAGAAAAATTGCCCATCCGCTTAAATCATCAGGCAGTTCCAATGCTCACCATGTGTGAAGGCCTGTGTGTGTTTCTGCGCATATTACAAGCACAGAAAAATGTTTCAAAGAAAAGTTGAATAAAAAAACACATTTTGCATCCATTGCACCAGTTCCGTAAGTCTCACAGTTTTACAGATAATTAAACAAGAGGAATATTATGTTACATTTCTTAATTTACGAGTCTATTTTCTGGACACAGCAAGGTCCCAAGCATCTCCAAGAAAACTAATGCTTCAGTTTTTCTTTTTCAGCAAAGGATTGAATTAAAAATGAAAGCTTTTATTGTTTTTTTTTTTTATGTGTGTAAGAACAAACAACAGTGAAACCTTAATCTTGATTGTGTATTTATTAGTACAGGCCCATAGTTATGACTTCTCTCCAGTTTGAATAAGTGTCAACTAACAGTTTGTAGTTGCATATGAATGTGTTTATTTAGTACGAGGGAAAAATTTGTCATAGTGTTAATTATTCAATTTATCTTAACTAAGGCACAATTTGAGTTACAGAATTTTCTCACATAAGCTGTATTTTGTTTTCTTGTTTGTAATTTGAAGACTGTGTCATGTATAATTTCTCCTGCTGAATATGCCTGTTAAGTGTACATGATATTTTCACTGTCTTGTTTACTTCTGTAAACAGTGACTGCATGGAACCGGTGTGGTATAGATTCCTAAGTAGAAGGAAGCAGGATGTTGGTTGTTCAGGCATATAAACTGTCTAGGTAATACATAAAGTGAATGTGGTTAGAGGGTTGTGAATGATGAAGCAGGAGGAAGAGTTTGACAACTGATACTGTCATTGCATTTTGAATGGAAAACTTAGAAGAATTACAAACTCTTCAGTAAATCTAGTCATTCTCCAGTCAGAGTTTGAACCAAGTACCCTCATTGTAGGACCAATGTGTTATGTCCTGCCTGTCCACACACTTGTAAATTAATGTGGTAATAGGGGAAGAGTGTCTAAATTGCAAAGAGGAAAGAGAAAACATGGGAATCACTGGAGTTTTTGGACATGATCCAAACAAAAAGTGGGTGAGAACCCTGTTTCAAAAATCCATTATAAAATGAAACCAGTGTTACTAATAATATCCCGCCTCTGTGGTCTAGTGGTCAGAGTTCATGGATGTAGATCCAGAGGTCTGGGTTCGATCCCCGGCNTAGTGGTCAGAGTTCATGGATGTAGATCCAGAGGTCTGGGTTCGATTCCCAGTGCTACCAGTTTTCTGAGAAGCAGTGGGTCTGGAACGGGGTCCACTCAGCCTTGTGAGGAGCTACTTGAATGGAAAAATAGCGGCTCCTGTCTAGAAAACTGAGATTAACGGCTGTGGAAATCCATTGTGCTGACCATGCAGCACCCTCTGTCTGCAAAAGTTGGAATTAACTTCACCGACAAGTGGTGGTTGCTTGGTCGGTACAGTTCACTTGCAGACTAAAAGCCACAGAGTTACTAATAATGGTTAAATTGATAACTAAAAGTGAGAGAGAGATGTTTTTTCTGCTAAGGTAGAATTCCTGTAAAGTATATATCATCTTTGGTTCCAAGAATGTATATATAGAAGTTAACCAAGTTAACAGAAAGCTTATTTGGAAAAACAAATAAGAGAAATAGTTAAATCGTTACTTGGTCATAAAAGTAATATTCAGGTAAACAGAATAATTTCAGATGCTCCGTCAGAATTTCCAAATACAGATTTCACTTGCTGAGTGAGCTGGCTGATGAGGTAATTCTTGGGACTGGTATTCAGGATGTGCTTGGCTTGAATCCTGGCCAGGATACCAACTATTATGACCCATTTTCTTTCCCTCCCCCTCCCCCATTCCAAGCAAATGCCAGGATAGTATCTTAGTTTAGGCAATGTCCACTTCTCTTGCAGTGCATTATATACCATCATCTAGTCATATGACAGTACATTCTCACAGTTTTAGCATTTAATATTACGTGTGAGGCTAAAATTATAAAAAGGCCTACTGCTTGTAAATCATATATCAATGAAACATGCATTAACTACTGTGATGGTTACTGATAATTACTTCATGATATTTTGAAATAAACTGTTTTCATCTTCATACATTATGTGGCATGTACAATAAATTCCAGGACTTAATTTTATTTTATTCATACACATGTTATAAGAGTTTTGACACCCCTGCATAATTACCCTTCAGTTCCAGACTTTCCCCCACCCCATCCTGCATTGTTATACAAACTTTGCATAGTCACCTCTCTAGAAGTTAGTCAAACCCACCACATTAAATGAGAGTCATGTTGCTGTTCCTATTCAAGCTTGTTCCTAAATACTGCTGATAGTTGATTTTGGCTCTTGGAACTCACGCATTATTAAGTTTTGTGACACAGCTCTATTGATTTGCTTGATTCACTGCCCATCTTGAATGACAATAATAATTTTAATGCCAAAATTCTTGTGCAACAGCACAAATCAGTCCTGTAATTTACTGTGCAACCCTTATGTAATTTAAATCATACATGCACCCATTTTGTAATCCAGAAAAGTAATGTGTTGGCTGTCAAGAAGAAACCAAAGTAATGATCATCATATTTCATATGTTGCACATAAGTAAGGACATATACATCAGTAGACTATTGTTTCCAAAGTGGTGTGCGTGTCATATTCAGAAATTGTGCGGTATTAGAACAAATGGTATTTTGAACATTTTCTTTACTCCTCTTGGTGCATTTGCCTAGCATGTTGTGTTCCCTTGTTATGTCTATGATATATAGTTTATTAATTAGTTGTATATGTAAGAAATTGTAAAAATTTTAATGTAGGATATGTATAGAAGTTAAACATTATAAATATGTTGAAACAAGGTAAGATTAGACATGTCCGACATATATTAGATTTTTGAGACTAGTAATGATGATAAGTTATATTTAAGCATATGTGGAAGTCACGCATGACCATGTGGATGCCAGTGACAGGTAAAGTACTGTTAATTTCTGTTTCCTTCAGTATATTCTGGGACAGCACAAATGGACTTCTAACATTGGTGAGCATTTGTTATGTGGTGTGCGTGGAAGCATTTCTTGAACTTGTCTAGTGTAATGTCTGTGTTTTGGCAGAGAACTTCTATGTTATTGTTTTTGCACTTCAGAATATATATTTTCATTATCTGTTCTGTTTGCATGTATTGTATGGTCCTAGGGACAAAATTACATCCAAAGTACAGTCATAGACAGTCTTGAAACCAAACTTCCATAATGTATCTACAATATTTTGTTGTAAAGAATCCATTAATAGTGGTACATATTATGTGACTTTTTTCTGTCAGTGACTGTACCAATAATGAAATTTATTTTTATTTTTCAGTTGACCAGATATAGTAGATAGGCTCGTGCAGGTTCTACTTACTATAATTGGAGTTCTCCAACTTATATGTGCTGTTTACTGCATGCAGTGAATTGGTTTTTGTATCGCAATTAATTTCTTCATTTGTGTAACACTGCACCCCTTCCAGTTGTCAATGACTCTTGTCATACTAACAAAATTTGTTATTGCTTTTTTATCAAATTAAATTCTCCAGTAAGAAAAATTTTTGGTACTATTCAGGAGTATAAATGTTTAAACTCTGACTGCCCATATTTATATTTGTAACAGTAGTTTATATTAGGTTTCATAGTTTTTACATTACCATCACACTTCTTGCAGTCAATATATTATTTCATGTACTGTGTGTTTTCCCGCCCATCCCTCTTCTATTTTGATCTGACTCTGAATGCCACAGAATGAATTCCTTTTGATGATGTGGCATGTAAAATGTTTTTATTTTTAACTTCATTCCAAAGTAATTGATCCTAGCTGTATGATCTACAATTCTCGATTAGGACTGATATATTTGTTTTGTTATTATAGCGACTTGCAACTGGGAAGTGGTGGCTCAAGGTAAAGTATGGGTGCTTTATCACTAACACAAATGGAGTCTTTTTATATGTTTAACAACCACAGTTTAGACAACATTCCTAGATATCCGTTATGGCATGAGAACAAACTTACCCGCAGTACTTGTTTTCTGCCTTTTTCTTGCATGGCTTTGTATGTGTTAACAAAAGCCATTTGTTCCACATGTCACTTGACTGTTCACTATGCATAGGCCTTTGTAAATTGCTCTTCACTATATAATATGTGTTGTTTATGTTGGTTTGCCGATTTCTGCATTTCATTTCTTAATGCATATTAATGTCTGTATAAAATATGTCTGAGTTAAAAATGTCATTTTGCTCATCTAAAATATAGAATTTCATACGGATGCACATTTTTCAGATGGATTTTCAAAGTTAGTAATGAAAATTATTCAATTGTAAGCATGGAAGAATGGTTAGAACTGCATGGTTGCCATGTTCAGTCATTCAGATATGTAACATTGCATTCAGTGAACATTCAGAAAATGTATTATATATACAGTTTTTAGTTTTGTGTGCTTCCAGTTGGTAAGTTCATCAGCATGACAAACCTCTCATTAGTACAAGGTGATTTATGTATATATCTAAGTAAACTTGTGTTGAAGTTGAGAATTAACGTGTTAGTGAGATGGCTGCAGCACTGTGACTCATGCGGTCTGTAAGACAAAGTCTGCAGGAAACTGTTGAACAGAGATGCAGAATCTATTAGGGTTGGTTTCTCTCTCTGACTCTTTGTTAGTGTACGTATTAGAGGCAAGGTATGAGAGTCATTATTTCTGTATAATATGTAGGCATTCTCTACGGTGCCTGCACATTTTAGGTCAGGTATAAAATATGAAGTTTTGATTAAACCAGCCATCTGTGAGGTGATTGTGTAGAAAATGTGGGAGCCTCAACATCTCTCAACCCTATGGGCCTTCACAGCCTGTTACAGGGATAACTTACCTTCCCCCCCCTTTTTTTATGAAGATTTTGATTAATTATTGTGTACTGTATCTAGGTTTTTTTTTTAATTCCTGGACATAATATAGAATGATAAAGCTGATGCTGGCGGTGCATTATTGTCCTAGGTCAAAACTGACTTACGTTATGCAGTTCAACAGGTAGTTATATGCTGTATTGCTTTCAATATAAGATGCACATTTTACACATTATTCTCCTTTGAAAAATTGAGGTGCATCTTAAATTCGAGTAATGTGCACTGCTCTAATTTTTTTTTTCTAAACACCAGATAGAAACTATATACACCTTAAATTCAAGGGCATCTTATATTTGGAGTAATACGGTACTATAAATTTAGTAAAGGTCCATAATTGGCATAGTATATTTATTGTTATCAGTATTGTTAACTATAAAAATTATGATCCATGAAATAATACAATGCCTTACTGTAGTGGTAAGTGATTATCAGGAAAGAACAGAATTCACATAATTTTTAAAAATAATTCATATTCAGCACTGCTGGAATCATGCTTAGCATGGGAAATGTATGAAACAATAAATCTTTCATGCTGCACATGGTGTTATGAGGTGCTGTGTACAGGACCAGATTTTTTCTTTGCCTGTAACAGATGGAGTCTGTGTGAGAAAATATGTTCCATTGGGGGAAATTTACATCTGCAATTGTAGGAAGTCTGTGTGATGATAAATATTTTGTTTCCTTGTTGATATTCATTTGCAAATTCTGTCTCAAAATGAGATACTAAGGAACACCACTGGATCAAGCTGATGATTGCTCTTATCCCCATGTGCTTCAATATTTATAATCCTGTGACTCTGTTACCTTTCATGTGTTTTTTCCTAGTTCCCCTGAAGGCTGAGGGGCATTGTTTTGTGCTTGACGATACCTTGCCTTTGCCTAGTTTTCACATATGTGTAGCATGCACTTTGAATGTGATCACAAAATTGTGCTCAGTTGAAACCAAGTTATTATAAAAGCAAAGTCTGGTTGAGCCTTAGAGAAACATCAGTTAAACAGTGATATGTGAGATATATGTGGATGTATAATGCTTATTCATAACCTGTTTAATATATGCTGCATTTGTGTGTGTTAGATAAAGGTACTAAGCACAGATAAAGTGATTGCAGTAAAGATATCCAGATTTATATATCACTTTGTTTTAATTCTAATATATACAGTAAAACTTTTGTTTCTTAATCTTTTGTATGTAAAGTGGTAGTTGAAGTTAGTGTAACTCCACTGTTATTTGGTTGTTTACTGCATCATCCAAATAAGTGATTGATCAGCCTATTGCAGCCGGTGTTGTTGAAATGTGATGTGGGGTGATGAAAGGTGGGAAAAAACAGAATCATGGCCCTTTTATCAAACATGAAAAGATTGTAGGAAATTATAAAAAACATTCCACCCAAGATTTTGAACAGGTACACCTCATATATAAATATGGGGCTAGACCATGGAACAGAAACTTAAGGGGAAATATGTGAAATAATGAAAGATATCACAGACAGATGGATATTTAAAGTATAAATCTGGTACATTAAATCCTTGTCCAGCATGGAGTTTAGGATCTACAAGGGCATATTACATAAATCTGTATAATATCTCATTAATACATACATGCATGGTACAAATGGTAGACTTGTTCACATGATGCTCATGGCTGAGTGGCTGTACACTTATGCCACCATGCAACATATACAGAATCTTGTTTTATTTGGCTATGTTGTAACCTTATGACTTATCTTCACTTCTATAGGTGCTTTATGTTTTGTACTGCTGTATAAGTGCACAGGAAATGCAAAACAGAGCAAAGAATGACAGAACTAATCAGAATAATAAAAACAAAAAACAAAAACAAAAAAACACAGCTTCCCTTAATTTAATGCAATAAGAATGTAAGTTACCCTGAGACAAGGGGCAAAGGGGGAATGTTGGAAAGATCAGGAGAGAATACTAGAGCATGTGTTGGATGTGCACAGTACTAGAGCATGGTGGGCAGACTGCATGTACTCCAATTTTCCACTTTCAACAAATAATTGTTCACATTGTTCTTTGTACGTATAAGCCAGTTTGTGTTTGACTGATGCATTGGACAAGGTTTTACTGTATAAGGAAATTTTTAAACGCATACTTTAGAAGGTTTTACTGTATTAGTATGTGTAATACATGTATTGTGTTGTTAATGTCAGAGTATGATAAAATAAAATATTATAAAGAAATGCATAACTGTGCACTTTTTAAGTGTCCAGGTTACAGTGTAACTTGCACTGAACCTCTGTTGCATTGTTTGTTTGCATTTGTGTTCTTGATATTTTAACGTAGAATAACTGAACATGATTCATATGGGAATGATTTGTTCCAGCCTGGAGGCTCGCCATACCATACAATCCATCAAGTTGATACAAGTCTGGAGGGCTGGAACTACCCCATGCTCAAACAGAATCGCTCAAATTCATGGTCTGATTCATTGGATGATTTCAAATTTACATCAACAATTATTGAGCATACAGAAATTAATGATACAGACAGTGAGAAAAGTGTGAAGTAAGTCCAAGAAATACACATATTGAGATATAATGGAGTGGTATGTGAACATTTTGATGGTAACATTTTTGTGAAACTTTTTCAGGTTAGGTTCTTTTTGTAATTAAACTCTTCATTTTAGGATACTTGAAGAAAAGAATTCAAATTTGTATGACACATACAAGAAAGCATATTCAGAAATTCTGCATAGATGGAATCTTTTGGATGCTCGGGCACAGGTATGGGCCTCTTACTGACTTGGTGATTTTGTATAGGACCTTGTATGAACTTCATCAGTACCAACAGTAATGGAATTTAACATTACAGGTATTGAAGTACATGTCAACACCTCCAGAAATACATAAAGGTGTGGAGTTTTATTCAGAGTGTCAGTATTGTGGCAATCAAGTCAGAGGTGCTAGCTGTTTGTCCTGCAAGAGACTTGTTTTACAGTGCTCCATTTGCAATCTGTCTGTTAGAGGTGAGACTGTGTGCCTGTGTTCATGAATTACTGTGTTTAGTTCATATTGCAAGAAGGAGGTGGCTGTCTTGTTGATTCTTTTTTATGGTTTTCTGCAATCATTTTAGAATAGTAGATTTCTTACAAATGAAAGAAAATGTAAGAACAAGAATATTAATTTAATATGGGATAGTTCAGAATTGAAGTAAATTTGAAGTGTCTGTTACTTACAGGTATTTATGAATTTGATTCATTTTTAATTTCAGACACTACTATGGACTGGTATGTCTCAATGTATTTGAGGGGTCAATATGTCTTGGGGGGGTAAGAGGTAGGTGGGCAAGTAAAATGCTGTGATTCCTGCCAGCCAGCATAACTTTGTCCAGTTGTTTTCCATCATGAATGCGGCAATGGCCACAGTTATGAGTTTTGAGTAGTAATAACAGGAAGTTCGGGGAAACTAATCTACTTTCCTTTCACTTCATATGGAGTATTTGATACAACACAGACCGCATAGAAAACACTGCATCCAACAGTTATTCTATTGTTGCTTGTTCATTCATTGCCATGGGAATGTGTTTACAGAGCCATTGCCTAGGAATAGTTGTTTCTTCTGGCTCCACTATTCGAACTTGTTATATGGAAACACATATAGATACAGGCAACAAGGTGATCTCATAAGCCTCCTTTTTTTTTCTCTTAAACATAAATATCTTAGGTTAATAAGTTCAAGTGAGTGGTTAAGTGTGGATAATTTGAAACTGTAAATGTCTGAGAAGTACTTCGGTTGGCTGGGGGATAGTTTGTAGATCTGTAAAGATTTTCCAGACAATGCAGAGAGAGAGAGAATAGGATAACATATGACATTAGTGGGTATTTTTGGCTTTAGATTTGTCAGTTTGTTGGGTTGCATGATGTAAAGCGTGCAATGAGTGGGATGGGATATGCAGATATAGCCAGTATGATATACCTGCCTCTCAGAATAAGATTAATAAACCACTATCACATTTGTATAAGAGTGCAAGAGAATGTTGGGCTGACCACAGGAGAGGATGTGCTAGGAGCCTCACTGTTGTTTCTTGCGCACAGCTGATGATTGCCAACTCAGGCCTTATACCAGTGACTTGATTGAAAACAAGAGTTTGCTGTCTTAAACTGGTTATAAAATAAAGACAGGAAGACCAGTATATTATCATAATGTTCAGGGAACACTAATTATCTTGATCTCCTGTGGGCTTATGTAGGGCTGTGCGCAGTATATAAACATGTTTATTATCTGTACCTGTAATACTTTGCAGTTTTACTTGTCTGAATAGCAAAGTAGCATTCACTTTTGTTGCAGAAGTAATTCATCTGAACAAAATTTTATACCCCACAGGGTTGTCAAACTTCTGTGTGGTATGTGGTCATGGAGGACATTCAGAACACATGATGTCATGGTTTGAGTCAGAGACACTGTGTCCAACTGGCTGTGGCTGTAGTTGTATGGTAGAGACTGCCAGCATGCTGGAATCATAACAGCACAGAGAAAGGTGAGCAGCTTGTGTTAAGCAGGCTAAAATTATAGTTGCTGTTTGCACAAAGTGCAAATAATGAATATCCATCCAACTGACAGGAATTTGTACGAAAATTTGCTGCTTTAATTCTGCCAGTAGGTGGATCTTCCAGCCATAGATTATCTGTCATCAGCTGTTTTTATTTTCATGAAGAATGCTTATATCCTCTTGAAGCCTGTGTTTTATATTTTTCTAATGTTATGATTAGATTGTGAGTACTTGAAGTGGAGCTCTTAGTATTCACACACACATAGAACATAAGAGTAAAATGGTTAGCGTCTCTGGTTTATGATAGGAGATCCTGCATTCAAATTTTGTTGGAGAAACTGAATACTGGGATTGAAGTTTTGGAATTCCCTCAGTCTCTTCAGGCCAGTGCCAGGATAGTATGAAGCCACAGCTTCTTCCTCATCCTTTGCACTTCATTAGTCACCAATTATCCCATCATCTGATACTAAATAATCTGGGTTGTTGAAAACATTGTTAAACAAAACCATGTTAATTATGTATATAAATTTCTGTGTAATATTTATTCAGGATATAGGTATTACAATGCATGAATAGTGAAATGGAACAGGAACCAAAATATAAATAAAGAAATTTGATGAAGTAGTGAAGTTGCCATCTATTTTAAGTATCCTATACATGATTAAATATGTGGCATTGCATTATTTAAAATTATGGAGAAGAAATAAAATTTAATTTTTCCTGTGTGCATCAGCTGTGAATAAGCATCATTGAGGTATATCAAGTTAACAAATACAGGGTGATTCAGAAAGATGGACACAATTTCAATTGGCTATATTTCCTGAATTATATGTTCCATTTGAATTGTGTAAATTACATTTGATTATACATACATGGAAGTTTATAGATGTTCAATGTGCCCCCTCCAGCTGCACGGATAACATCTAGACGGTAGCTGAATTCATCCCACACTCGATGACAAATATCTTGCGTCACTGAGTTCACCGCAGCTGTGATACGGTTTCTTAGGCCATTCAAATTTGTGGGAAGAAGTGGTACGTAAACTGCATTTTTCACGGATCGCCACAGGAAAAAGTCGGAGGGTGTGAGATCGGGAGACCTCGGTGGCCAGAACTGAAGTGCCAGGTCTTCATTCCCCATGCGACCTATCCATCGTTGAGGTAGAGATTCATTCAGGAAACGAACATTCAGGTGCCAATGGGGTGGAGCTCCGTCCTGCTGGAAAATCTAATCTCCTGAATCTTCATTCATTTGAGGAACAAGCCAGTTTTGCAGCATTCTAAGATACGTTACTCCAGTAACCGTGTTTTCATCAAAAAAGAAAGGTCTATAAAACTTTGTTAACGATACTGCACAGAACACATTAACTTTCGGGCTGTCCCTCACATGTTCGAGTGTTACACGGGGATTTTGTAGCCCCCATATGCGAACTTTGTACCCGTTGACTTTCCCACTTAGGTGAAACGTAGCTTCATCGCTAAAAATTACACGAGGCAGAAACAATTCATCTTCCATGTTTCTGAGCATACGGTCACAAAATTCTACACGCTTTACCTTATCGTTTGCGCGAAGAGCCTGTACCAGTTGTAGGGGGTATGGTTTGTACACTAACCGACGCCTGAATACATGCCAGACAGTTGTTTGCGATAGTCAAGTTCTCTACTAGCACTACGGGTTGACTTCATTGGGCTACGCTCAGAGCTCACTCGAATGCGCCCCACATTCTCCTCCGATGCACGCGATCGGCCCGGGCTTTTACCCTTACACAGAGAGCCAGTTTCATCAAATTGTTTATTCCAACGATAAATGCTCTTCCTCGTTGGGGGCTGGATGTTAAACTTAGGACGAAATGCACGCTGCACCGCAGTCGCAGACTCACTTTTACTGAACTCACGAATGCAAAAAATCTTGTGTTGCATATTAGCCATCTCGCTTACAACTAACGCGGTGCTGAAGTGCTCTAGCGGTAGTATTAGAAACTTTACAATATCCTCTTTCAAATGTACTTTACAGAATTCAGATGCAACATATAATTCAGGAAATATAGCCAATTGAATTTGTGTCCATCTTTCTGAATCACTCTGTATATGAAGTCAGATTTGGAATATCCAGTTCAGGTGACATAAGGCTCTGTGCTTTTTGATTAATGTATGATGTCTCCATTGCAGCAGTTAAGTTGGTACTGATGCCTTTAAATATTTGCCTTATAACTAAAAATGACATACAGTCTGTACCACACCAAATGAAAGTTTTGAGTCTTGTACTTTTTTAAGTTTATTGTTGCTGTAACGAGACACATTAATCACGCCACATTTTCAAAAATGCTGATTTAAATAGAACTGAGAGCAGTTAATGAAGTTTCTTACTGCAGAAGTAATATCAACCATGGATATTCATTGGTATCTGAGGAAAGTGTCTGACAACTTTATGATGTGAATTCTTTGCTGGATTTGATGTTCTCTTAGCAGTGACTATGAAGACTACCTTGCAGCTTGTTGGTTGCTTGACTTACTCTTTGGCCCTGCAGAAGGGGGCAGTATGTTCCTCCAAAACACTGGTAAAATTCTACCAGATTACACAGCCTCACATTCCAGAAGATAAAACTTTTCAGTATGAGCACTGTTAGTTACTGGAAAATTCATGCAGTAAAAGGAAAACTGACATTGTAAACAAGCTTTGAAGTTGCACAAATATTATGTTTTTAGACATTATCTATCATCTTGTCTTTTATCTAAAACCCATCCTGTTCATTTTTCAAAACACATTGTTTCGAAGACTGGATTCTGTCTCTGTCTTCTGGTAAAACCTACTCGGTTAGGCCCAATCAATAGAGCTAGTCCCTGTCTCCGGAGTCTCTGTCTCTGAACTTTTTCACAATTTTGAAGCTGGCATGGTTCTTTTGGAAAAGCATGGTCTGAATTTTGTAAGAAGTTCGAAAGTCAATGTTAACCATATAACGGATTATGCCTTTTACACAAATCTACAGAGAAAAGAAAAGACTGTCTAGCTCTTAAATGACCTTAGACAGCTACTTCTGAAAAGGTCAAACAACATCAGAATCCACTGAAAGTCCATCTTTAGCATCAACATCAACTCAGTGCCCTACTCCTCTTGCTGTTTCAAGAAGTCCATCCAAATCTCCAGCAAGAAAGCATTTAGTCCATGATTATTTGACTTATGATGTAGAAAATGTGCCTTCTGCTTCAAACTTCTTTCAATAAAGTTTTGTTTCTTCATTTTACATCTCCTAGCCCTAGTAAGAAGTAAGTCATTGCTTCAGCTTGTGGACATCTTCTAGTTATGACATCAGTCTGGAACCTAAGGTGATGTAACTCTGGAGTATGCCTTTACATTGAAACATTACTGAAACAAAAACATTTCTTCCAAAACACAAAAGTGGAGGGTCTCTGTAGTGGCAGTGGTGGGCCACAATAGCATACTTGAGTGTGCCATAGCTCAGGTGATTATTCACCAGCTTCCCACTTTGGTGCCGCAGGTTCCTTCTCACGTCAAGTCATGTGAGGTTTATGGTGGATAAAATGACACTGGTGGAGGGTCTTTGAAGCACTGCAGTTTCCCTTGCCAGTTCTAATTCCAACAACTGCTGTACTTTCATTAATCATCCTGTCATCAACACTGTGTAATCTTAACAGTGAAAGTCAGTGTCATTAAATGTTGTATGTAAAAAATCATGCATATATGAGAGGTCATTTGATGTACCTTGCTTCAGGTTACCATGTGTTTGGGTTGGGAATCATTGTTCTATTTCCTATATACCTGCAGAAGCATTTGTTTGGTATAATGCACAGATGACATGTGGATGTTCTAAAAAGAAAATGGAAGGACTGAAACAATACTGATGAACAGGAAAGTCAATTGTAGGTACCAAAGTTAGTGAATCAGCTTGGTTCAGAAGTTTCACTTTGACTTTTGGTTACGTTGCTCATGTAAGATGGCTTCTCACATTTACAGAAAAAAGGGAATTGGTTTCATGTACATAACACAAGAGTTATTAAGTGGTGTACCATGTACACAGGGGGCATGCGGTAGCATAGTTGGTTGAGGCACTATGCTACAAGCTGGAAGGTCGCGGGTTCAAGTCCCAATGAGGTCATTAGATTTTTTTCAATTTACGTAATCCTTCCGGCCCTATGGCCCTGGGGTCGACTCAGCCTCTAACAGAAATGAGTACCAGGAATTAATAAAATAATTTTCCTGGGGAGTAAAGCGCGGCCGGCCTGTAAGACTGACAACCTTACCACCATCTCATTGAGCCAATTGTCTAGATAATGTGGGACCCTCAAAGTCTCACGATCCTATGGGCCTTCACAGCCTGTTACAGGGATAGCTTAATTTTTTTTTACCATGTACACATTTTCATTTTGGATAATTTAAATTTTGAAGAAGAAGAAAGTCTGCTAAATTTTATTGTAACAGTATTTTGCTATGTTTTGGTGGATGGATAAGATTGAATCACTGTTAGGCTGAAAGATGAACAACAAATTGATAGATGTAACATTCTTTATTCCCAGGCTGTTTAAATTCCTATCTTGGAAGCTGAAGATCATAAAGGCTCTGAAGGAGTGGGTCTTGGTTGGCCATCTACTTGAAGAGGTCATTGTATATGGCTGAGTGAAGCTGTTGAAAATAGTGATGAAACCTTAACTAGTACTTGCCATTGAACAATTTAAGGCTGCATATATGTAGTAGTGGTTGGAAGATATATAAATTCTTTTTGAAAACTATGTTCAAGTGCTATTTGTACATATGGTACATAGAAAAATAGGGATTTTTTTATAGCTTCATATTCTTTGATCTCTGGTGCTCACATATTAGTTTCCAACCAATCAGTTTTTAATAGTAATGTGAGAAACAGTATACTGTACAAGCTAACACATGCAGGTATTGTATTCTGCAGGATTAATTTACAGCTATAATTAGTTTTGAATTGTTCACCTACTGTGTTATAGGCTATTAGCTGAATATTTTTATTACTAAATTGTATACAGTTTTGAACACTGTAACATGAAGAAAACAGTTCTTCAGATGTACATGTAGTGTATTTAATAATTATGGCATTTAAAATACTTTGTTCAGATCATGAAAGGTTGTTATATATGTAAATATGTATTTAGTAAATTTCAAATTTAAAGCAATATTGTAACGACTTGATTATTCAAAGAATTCTTTATCCAGTTCTTTTTCTTTCATTGTTAATTTTGGTGCTAATGCCATTACTTTTTGAACAAAAAATTGACATTTTAGCTAAAAATAATAGCAGTGCTGAAATTGCTGTCCTAGTGAAATACATTTCATGTATAGTTTATTGCAGTTCTGCCTGTCTTAACATGTCTTTGGTACATGAACAATTATTTAAGCTTAAGGTTTCAAATTATATGTTTATTATTAGTTATTATTATATAAGCAAATTCCTGTTGGTTGATTATTTAGCTGAAAGCCTGATTTAGGATAACTAGCCTGTTTTTTTCAGAACAGAATAACAATTCACTGTAGTAGCAACTGACATAGAGATGCTTGCAGGACATATTTATGAAGGGATATATTTTGGGATTTTTTCCTCCCTTATGTAAACAGTGGTATGCCAAAGGTAAGAATTTTGATATACATATATTTTTTTCAAAAACAGTATTACATATATCCACTTGTTTTGCCTTTTGTGTTTAAATGTACAATATGTGGTATTTGTTATGTTTAAATGTGCACTGTGTTTGACATGTTCCAGACTTTTGGGGGGATGTCTGAAGTTATGTATTTTGTCTAAAAAAGGAGGAGCCATTGATATAAAACATTACAGTTCAGTTCTAATAATTATATTTAAGGAGAGAATGCATGAGAAGGAAATATGTAAGAGGGGTGTAATATTGTTTCAGTTCACTATATGACAGTCATTCTTTTGAACCTTTCTTTGACCATCATTTTAGTGCTTGCATTCCTTTACCATTATCAAATCCAGTATTGTTGGAGGCCAAGCAATTTGCTCTTCTCACAACCATGAAGATAGGAAATACTATTCAGAAATTCACAGTAAATTGATATAATGTTCTCTAAGGTTATAAATTGTGGCACACTGAGGAACAATTGGGTCACCAAATTATTGATCAATATAGTGTCAGTTCAGATACTTGTTATAGACTGCTGTCATTATATCAAACAGATTAAACCCATACTACTATTTTGGCAGTTGTATGTCCTCTACCCTAGATGTAATAGCTATTTCAATATGACATACTAGTAACTCACCAAAAGAAATGATCAAACATCACCACATCTCTTTCTAGATCATGGATTTCTTCAAAGCTCAAACTCACAAATGCCTTCTCATATGACCATTAATATGAAAAATAGGATCTTCAAGAAATGCAATCAGCCACTTCCATCATTTTGTTGCTCTGTGACATTAGAGAAATGTATAGTACACAATAATCTTGAAGTTTGATACTTTGTTGCAGCTTGTTGTTCTTGAACATTATCATGAATGGTTTGTCTTCTAATTTCAGAGTGTTTTATCATTTAAAACCATTCTTGAATGCATTCAGCTTCTGATCTTCTAGCTGCTTCTTCAGTGGCAGTCTTCTGCTTTTCTGTAGACACAGTCTACTTCATTATTGTATTATGTTAGAACGTGGGCCATATAAATGCCTGAATTTATGTAGAATCCAAGTTATGGATTTAAAGTGTGGTCATACCTCACTTCTCCACAGGTGTTCTAGCTGAAGCACACCTAGGCCACCAGCAGATACTCAGGTTATGGTTGTAAAGAGCTTCAACTTGGCATTTCTTTTGAATCTTCATGGAATATTCACATATACATGGGAGCTTATAGAATTTTATTTCATTTTTCTCAGACACTGTATACAGGAAAACGTTGTTAATTCACACTGCTTTGGATTGGAATACATAACTAACTTCATGGAGCTGAGCCCTTTTTGAGAAACTAACAATTGTGCAGCTACTCAGGAACTTCCCAGCATTTTATAGAACCTGAATATTCATTAGTGTGTTCACAAGGGCCCTCTACTGGTCCCTATCTTGAGCCAGATCAATCCAGTCCATACCACCTCACCTTATCTGTCTTTAAAATTCATTTTAACAGTATCCTTCTACCTATGTCTGGGTCTTCCTCGTGGTCTATTTCCTTCTGGCTTTCACCTACAGTCGAACCTTCCTAATTGCATATTCTAAAACAAAATTTAAAAGCAGTGGCGATGAAGTGTTTCCTTGTTTTAGACCATTCTGTGTAGGAATATTATCAGACAACTGTTTACCTATATGGACTTTCCATACATCTTGTTTGAACACATTTTAATCAGCATAACTAGTTTTTTAGGCATCCCAGACTCAATGAGAATACTGTACAATACTTCCCTTCTAACTGAATCATAGGCTTTTTTTAACTCTATGAATAGCTGAGATACTGTCTCATCATACTCAGTTTTTTCCTCTAGTACACACTGTCAAAAAAACTGTTAAATTGAAACCCACACTGATGATCCCAAATAATTTCATCTATATATGGACTTAACCTTGAGAGAAAGATATTGGATTCAATTTTATATGAAGTTGATAGCAATGATATCCCATGATAATTATACAGTCAGTTTTATAACCCTTCTTGTGAATTGATACAATAATAGACTCCTTCCACTGATCGGGCAATTTTTCCTTATTCTAAAGATAATTAATTTGCTTATGGATCTCAGACCATAATGTTTCACCTTCTGCTGGAATTTGATCACTACCTGGCAGTTTATACCTTTTCAACTTTGCAGTAGCAATCTCAACCTCAAAATGGTTACGATCAGGTAGTAACGGCTCAGGTGTATGTATTTCTATCTGCCTAACATCACTGACCCTATGTGCATTCAGTAACTGAAAGTAGTAGTTCTTCCACCTATTCAAAATGTTGTGGGAATGTGCAAGCAGATCACCATTCTCGTCCTTCACTACGTTCTAGATTTTTAACCTGTTTTAAAGTCATTTATTTCTCTGTACAGATCTCTGATATTCTTGTTCATACTGTTCATTGCAAGCTCATCAATTTTGTCTTTCAGATTATCCCCATTTATTTCACTTGGATCCTGTAGCCACTGCAGTTTGTCTTTTTTCCTTTGATCTAATAATTTTGAGCATCCTTTGTCTAACCATGTCTTATGCTAAGTTTTCCAATGGTGCAAATCTATTTGAGATTTCAACACAGTACTGCTCTTCACCCAGAACCTTGTTTAATTTATTGAGATTGAATCCCTCTATTACATAAACTGAATTAAATTCAAATTGTGTGATTTTCATTATGGACATGCCTACTGAGCATGAAAGTAGATACACAAGTTATGTGTGTATTGTACTTGACTGGTAATATACACCACTTTTGAAGTAGTTGCAGCTGTATTTTTTATTACAAAAAGATGACTTGAATTTTTGTAAATTAATGTCACAATCTTGGCTTGAACATTGATGCACAAGTGTCATAAGTTAATAACACTGATCATGTTATTCCAATATTTATGAAAATATGAGGCATTTTTCCTCTGCTTGTATCTTAGAAACAAACCTACATTATATCCATAGGTTTTACATCCCTGTCATCCACATCTGTACATTTTCTGGAATTCAGTACTAATCAGGATGTAAGGGTTTAATTCCATGATGGATTTAAAGAAACTTACTTTTTAACATTTTCATCTGTTGATTGGCCAGATTTTTCTTTTGTTAATGAATTGATGACACAGAATTTCACTTGGGCAGTGCACTTGCTCTTGTAGCTCTCTGCATTCAGTTTCAGCCTCACATTGACAGAATTACGTATGGCAAAGACCTGTTTGTTAAAACAGTTACAGATAACTGTATTTCAGATGGATTTGCAGGCTGCTTCACAACTTCTCATTGCATCAACAGTATTCTGTTTCCTGATCTCAGTCATGGGGCGTGCCCTTCCTTTTTCATGCAAATAATAATGGTCTAAATGCTTCCAGTATGCGTTTTTCATGCAACAAATCATATGCTGATTAAGAGGCTGCTTGTGACTTGTATATGGATATAACAAGCTGAATTATCCTTCAGTAGAAGGCCTTTATAATAATGTGCTGCGCACAGAATATTTGTAGTTTATTGTCCTACTAGAAAACTCTCATTTCATACTCACTGACTGAAAACCTCAAATCTCACACACGTGATTTCAGTTCTTCTCAAGTAGCAGTCACTGACAGAATATCTGCACAGTGACTGCTGCATTTTCTTTATATTACTTGTGTAACGTGATATTCATATTTGCTCACATTGAGTGACCGTAAATTTTCTCTTCATTCCACATTGCAACAGGGTGACATGGATGTCCTATGGTGCAAATTGTTCCAGTATTTATAATTACTAAAATCTGAGTAAGAAACATTCACATTTCATAGGTGAAGCATAATTTTAAAGTTTTTTTTTTTTTCATTGCTTGTGGGGTGGGACTAAGTCCCTTGTACTTCAGCCACTTCTGGCCTATTGTACCAGCCCCAGATGATAGGTGAGGGTGATTTTGGAGCAATTGGTGGAATGAAGATTGGCAGGGGAAACCGAAGTACTCGGAGAAAACCTGCCCCAGCGCCACTTTGTCCACCATAAATCCTACTTGATCGAACCTGGGCCTCCACAGTGGGAAGCCAGCAGCTAATCGCTTGAGCAAGGGGCGGTCTTAATTTTAAAGGTTAGTTTAGTTTCTTACTCAGTCATTTTATGATGCTGTAGCTACTGGCAGGGTTATTATACACATATAGTGCCAAATTGGATGTTGTAGGATTATATTTGTGAATGTTGAATTATGAGGCATGTGGAAGTGATGGCCTGCTTCAAGGTGCTACTACAGTATTTACCTGGAGGTACTGAGGAATACCACAAAACAAACTTTCTCTTTGTAAAGCATTTAAAATTATTGGTACCAAGAAGTAACTGAATTATTCAGTATAGCAGCATTTGGTGAGGTCTCTGTCAGAGGTTAGGAATTTAGTTTTGATAGTGTGGTACTAAAGTCCCACAAATCACCTGAACAATATTTTTGCTTCAAAAATGTTTACAGTGTAGAAAGATTTGAATTACTTCCACAGGAATGTATTTTTAGTAGCAGATTCATATTAAGACAGCTTACATGCATCAAGATGTTACAAGTCATGAGTGAGTAGCTAAGATTGTGGTTGTCTGGGTTGTGACACCATGCAGCTTTGTGAGCGGATAGTGATGTTTTGAAAGAATGTCCTGTGTCCACCTTCAGAGTTGAAGTATGCAGGTTCAGGAATAGGCTTTGTTACATAGGCAAGTCACAGGAAGGGTGGTTATGAAACCCAAGGTGGGGGATAAGCCAATAAGAAAAAATAGAGGCAGTATGTTCCTCTGAAATGTTGGTATCTGCCCACAAAACTATATGGTATAACAACTGAATGGACCACAGTCTTAACAGTCATTGGTGTGAAAACCTCACAACTTACGCGAGTAATGCTAGGATAATCTTATAATTTAGTGGCACCGCACTTTACACATCTTTTTAATTTCCTGGGGAGCAATAAAATGTTGATTTTGATTCTGGGGTGCAGTCATAATTGAATGAGAGGGAATTTTTGAAATAAATTATGGGCTACAAGGAAGTGAACTTGTAAAGTAATCCAGTTCATTACATTAGCAAGATATTTTCATCTTTAAGCAGTTGTTATGCAGCATCCATTTTTGCTATTTATGGTCATATTCATACTTCATGTGAGTTGTTGCATCAAATTATGTTTGACACTGGATGTTGATTTTATAACATTCTGTGTAAGCAAGTTTGTAGTTAGTGTACAAGTATAATAATCAGTTAGGAAGGTTTCATTAGTGTCATTGTAAAAGATATTTTTGAAATATGAATAGTCATTAACCTAAGAGCAATGAGAGTTGAAACCAAGCCAAAAGCATACACTTGACATTGAAACACTTATTTATGATGTTTGAAGGCTGCAAAGTAGGGTGTTACCATATCAGTGAGGCTTTCAAGTAGGTAGGATTATATCTCTGTTCTGGGTACCATGCTGTACATCTATGTGGCCATCAATTCACTGTTAAAGACACTAATTTCATGATTGTCCTGTAACTTAATGTTTGTCATCTAAAGGGGGCATTCCACAGGTACATTTTCAGTGAACCAGTTATGGAGAATACAGTCCACTCTGCCACTATGATCTCATGCAAAGTTCGTCTCAGATTTTATATACCTTGATTGGTTCTTTGTCTTTTAGTCTTAATTTGGGTTATACGAGGGTCGTACTGAAAGTCATGAGCAACAGTTTTTTTGTAAAATAACATGCTTTATTATTGACAAACCAAATATACCACCTCAATCTACAGACCTTTCTTTATTTTTCCACATAATCGCCACTTCTTTGTACACATTTCTCCCAGCGTTCTGGGAGTTTGAAAATTCCCCTTCTGTAAAATTCCGTTCCAGCCATCTGAAGACACTGACGCACTGCTTTCTGAATTGCCTCCCTTGTCTCAAAACATTGTCCACGCAGCTGATCCTTCACAAATCTGAGAAGATGGTAGTCGGAGGGTGCCAGATCAGGGCTATAGGAAGGGTGTGGAAGAACTTCCCACCCCATCTTTGCAATTGCTTCCAATGTGAGGCGAGCGGCGTGGGGGCAAGCGTTGTCATGAAGGATGATTATGTTTCGTCCTGGAAGTTTATCACGCAATTCACAATGGAACTTGTGCAGCATCTGGACATAACGAGCAGCACTGATGGTTTGCCCAGGTTCCAGGAATTCAGCCAGAATAAACCCCTCTGCATCCCAGAAGACTGTGCCCATCACCTTCACAGCTGATGGCACT